ACCAAGCAATTTTCAAAAACTGTTCATTTAAAAATCTCTTGCGTGGTTGATAGATTTAATGTCTCTACGTTTGATTGAAGCAAGACAATATAACTTCCACTGAGCATTACGCTTCATATTGTCATACCGCAGTTACACATGTAAAGAGCCACAGAGAACTATTTTTTCTCAAAAGGAGGTACTCACCAAAATGGTATTTCTTTCAATGTGGAAGAAGTTTCTTTTCTTAACTCGCCCTTAACTATAAGAATATGAATCGCGCCCCAAGCTCACGCTGTCGTCATCGAAGATCTAAAGAAATTCGCGTCTCTTCCTTCCAGTTGTATCGAACAAAATCTCTTTAATTTAGCGACTGTATCAAAAATCTCTTTAATTTAGCGACTGTATCAAAAGAGATATGATGCTGTGAGTTGCTCTTGCTTCGTGAAACAAAAAAGGTGAATAATACCACTAACGTACGAAACGGTGAATAATACTACTGAGGTACGAAACGGTGAATACTACTACTGAGGTACGAAACGGTGAATAATACTACTGAGGTACGAAACGGTGAATACTACTACTGAGGTACGAAACGGTGAATACTACTACTGAGGTACGAAACGGTGAATACTACTACTGAGGTACGAAACGGTGAATACTACTTCTAAGGTACGAAACGGTGAATAATACTACTGAGGTACGAAACGGTGAATAATACTACTGAGGTACGAAACGGTGAATAATACTACTGAGGTACGAAACGGTGAATAATACTACTAATGTTTGATTGTTTGTAATTAAGCACAAAGCTACACAATGAGCTATTGTGCTCTGCCCACCATGGGTATCGAAACCCGGATTTTGGCGTTGTAAGTCCGCTGGGGGGCACTGCTAAAAAATAAACAATTCTAATGATAATAGATGCATACATTCAATCATTTGACATTTCTACAATGTTATTTTTCAATCATATAAGAAACAAACAACTTACTAAACGTCTGTCATTTTGTAGACTAAAACAACAACACTGTGTGACAATATCAATCTAATGTCGATTGGTGAAAATTTTGTATCCGAGAATCGAATATTATAACTCTCGACAAATACCACGAGACATTTAGTAATTCTTCGTTGTTCTCTGTTGTAAGTTGTTTTTTCTTTTCTTTTATTAGAGAGAAATTAAATGAACATCAAATACAAGCTATGTGAAAACTAAATAAAATATATTATGAAATCTTGACTATTTTAACTGCACATCATTACGTTAATTGCTGGTACTTCACTTTGAGTAAAGTATTAGATCGGTTAACAACCACTAAAAAAAATAAATAGTTTTCTAAATTTTGTTCATTTGTCTGTTGAATTTCGCCCAAAGCTACTCGAGGGCTATCTGCGCTAGCCGTCCTTAATTTAGAAGTGATAAACTAGTTGGGAGGCAGCTAGTCGACAGCACCCTCCGTCAACTCTTGGGTTACTCGTTACCAACAAGTAGTGGTATTAACAGTTATATTTTAACGCTCCCATTGTTGAAAAGGCGAGTATTTTCGGTGACGGGATTCGAACCCGCGATTACTACAGCTTCTCAGAGTAAAATAAGAATAACACTTATACAAAACGCTAATAGCATGATGTCTTATTAGCGTTAATGTCTTATTATTTCATTGTACCGAAGTAAACAGGCAACATTTGCTACAATTTTAAACTGTATTATGAGATAGAAAATTAATAGCTTTTCGCCTAAAGCAAGGATAGCTGGTGTTCCTAATATAAAACTTTATATTGTCGTGAAGTCCTTCTGAGTAAGGTTCGCATCACTCTTATTATTGGCCCAAATAACAATTCTTCTTTAAAGCTATGGAATTTGTTGTTTTTTTCTTATCATCAAGAAGTAGCCCCACACATAGATTTGTGCTTAATTACCGACAAACAACCCATTAAGAGTTTATCCAGATGGCGCTTAGCACTGCTTTATACAGATTGATAATGGTTGGAGACGGCTTGAATGGGTAATGAAGAAAAACTTTAATATAACAGCAAATGTACAACGTTTCGACAAGGTTTTGTCATCATCAGGTACCAATGTTTTTCTTCATTACCCATTCAAGCCGTCTCCAGCCATTATTAGTCTCAAAGTGGGTTCCTCGTCATCGAATTTATACAGATTGGTTTGAATTTCATGCAAATCTACACGAGGGTTATCTGCACTAGTTATCCCTAATTTAGCGGTGTACTAAAGGGAAGGCAGCTTGTCAACACCACCCAGTAGCCACTGCCAACTCTTGGACTATTCTTCTACCAACGAATAGTGTGATTGGCCGTTACCTTATAACGCCCCCACGGCTGAAAGGACGAGCATATTCGGTGACGGACATTCGAACCTCAGATTATGCCATGCCGAAAGAATAACGAAAAAAAATCAGCATCGAGTTTAACTATTGCATTCTATACACTTTCTGGTTGGGGAAAATCATTCTATACACTTTCTGGTTGGGGGAAAATCATTCTATACACTTTCTGGTCGGGGAAAATCATTCTATACACTTTCTGGTCGGGGAAAATCATTCTATACACTTTTTGGTTGGTGGAAATCATTCTATACACTTTTTGGTTGGGGGGAAAATCATTCTATACACTTTTTGATTGGTGGAAATCATTCTATACACTTTCTGGTTGGGGAAAATCATTCTATACACTCTCTGGTTGGGGAAAATCATTCTATACACTTTCTGGTTGGGGGAAAATCATTCTATACACTTTCTGGTTGGGGAAAATCATTCTATACACTTTTTGGTTGGTGGAAATCATTCTATACACTTTTTGGTTGGTGGAAATCATTCTATACACTTTTTGGTTGGAGAAAATCATTCTATACACTCTCTGGTTGGG